CACATCATAATTTAATAGGTTGTTCAGTTAAAAAAAGAGCTAAATTCTAACATACTGATCTGTAGCAGTTTACCATGTTCACCCTCTTAATTAAGCATGTTAGCGTGCCATTTGCTAATTAGTGCAAAACTCAAAGAGCAGCTGCGGCTGATGGATTAGTATTTGGTCATAAACCAATAAACCAAGTAAAAAATATCAGATTATGGTTATAGATGAAAGTTAAGGCATGACCAACATTAAACAGGTTCAATCAATTCATCCTGAGGGGGACATAGATGTTTGTACCACATTTCATGGTAAACTATCCAATAGTTGAGATATAAGTGGTGGACTGACCGACTGACAGACCATGTGTATTGTCCAGACATTGATAGATGGATAGATAATTTATTGCCTTTCTGTTAGAGGAAATGTGTTACCACAGCCTGTACACACATAAGAGCAATACATCAATCATTGCCATCCCTAGAACTGCAGCTAACATATAAACACTATAAATGTGCTCCAATCTCTGTAATACTGCTGTCTTTCATACTGAAAGATACCATGCTGAAATCTTATTTTTGTATTTATTTATTTATTTATTTATTTATTTATTTGAACAGCTTACTCTGCTTTGAGTATTTATAACTCAAAATAGGTTTGTACTTTAATTATTCAGTTTGGGGCTGAAATCAACAAAAACATGCACCACTTTTCTCTGACGTCCCCCTTGGGGCTCAGTTATTCCTCTCCATCTGTTAAATTTCTTTTTCTGTCTAACAGCTTCAGATTTTACGCCCTGATGACATCACAGTGTTTCATCCACCAGGCAGCTCTTTTTCAATTAGCAGCTCTCAGCACGGTCATCAACACCCAGCAGAGTACGCCTGAAAATACAACTGAATCTGTGAAGTCTGTACTCAGGACGAGGTTAAAAGGACAATGAGTGTAATATTCAAAACATACCTTGCTGAGTGTGTAATAATAATGCTTCTTTTAGCTATTAAAACTACACCACAGAAGTGGTCCCTGCCCCTCTGAGCCACCAGATGTTGCTGTAGCGCAGCCTGTAGAGACTCAGAGGGAGACTGATTGTCATCTGGAATAAAAAAGATGCATATAAGCTGTATTTTTACTTCTTAAAAACACAGCATTTTGGAGATACAAAGTTTAAACACAAGGACAGATTTGACTGATTGCAGGTATGGCATGACACCATCAAGTTCAGGACAGGTGATACATCTGGCTCCAGTGAGAAAAAATGCAGAAAGGATGAACTGTCGCTGTTACTTTGGCTGAAGAAAATTCTCAGAGTGGAAAGAAAAGTTGGGTGTGTTTCCCCCTTCGCTCAGAGTTCAACCACATGTGGAATTTCTCATCTGTGTGTATTTTCACCATTTACATGTTCGCTGGATAATTTTTCCCATGTTTCCCCTGCACACAACTATCTGTCATCTGGTTGAACATGAGCAGTCCTCCAAGTAACACCTCTCTAACTCTCCACCCCAGCGTGTCTAAGATAAGATAAGATAAGATGTTCCTTTATTGATCCAAATATTGAGCAGCTTGACTAAACTAAAACTGTACATGTGGAAATTAAATATAGATGTGGGTTAGAGTTTATGCCAGTCTTAGTCTGCGAGGGTTGGAGGTACTGGGTGCTGTGGCGTTGTGGAGTCTGATGGCTGATGGTACAAACGAGCCTCCAAACCGCTTTGAGGCTCGGGGCTGGGTCAGTCTGTGGCTGAAAGTGCTCCTCAGCTGCCTGAGCTCAGTGTAGAGGATGAGAGGGGTTGTCCATGATGGCGTTCAGCTTCCCTTTCATCCTCTTCTCCGTCACAGCCTCCACACTGTCCAGCTCCATCCCCACCACCGAGCTGGCCTTCCTCACCAGCTTGCTCAGCTTGTTGGCACCCTAGTCCAGATGCCTTCTCCCCAGCAAACCACAGCAAAGAAGATGACACTGGCCACTACAGACTGGTAGAACATCCGTACACGCACACGTTGAAGGACCTGAGCCTGTCCTTTCCTCTAGAGGGTAGTGTGGTCCGTCCAGTCCAGTTTATGTCACCCCCAGGAACTTGTAGGTGTCCACCATCTCTACCTTCTCTCAACTGGGGAGGGGGTCCTCTTGCTGCGCCGGAAGTCCACCACCAGCTCTTTGGTTTTCCCTGTGTTGAGCTGTAGGTGGTTTCTGTCGCACCATCCAATGAAGTTCTCAATCAGGTCTCTGTACTCCTCCTCCCTATCATCTGTGATACAGCCGACAATGGAGGAGTCATCAGAGAACTTCTGTAGATGGCACACTCCGTAGTTGGAACAGAAGTCAGAGGTGTAGATGGTGAACAGGAACGGTGATAGTACAGTTCCTTGGGGTGTGCCAGTGCTGCTCGTCACCACGTCTGACAAGCAGCTGTGCAGTCTGACATACTGTGGTCTGTCAGTGAGGTAGTCAGTGATCCAGGCCACGATGTCCTGATCCACCTGCATCACAGAGAGTTTCTCTGCCAGCCGGAGAGGCTGGATGGTGTCAATGGCACTGGAGAAGTCGAAGAACATGATCCTCACGGTGCTCTGTGGCTTCTCCAGGTGGGCGTAAGCTCTGAATCAGGTAGACGAAGGCATCATCCACGCCGATGTCGGCCTGGTACGCAAACTGCAGCGGGTCCAGGCAGTCACGTATCATAGGTCTAAGGTGCTGCAGAACCAGTCTCTCAAAGGTCTTCATAACATGTGATGTTGAGGCTACAGGCCTGAAGTCATTGAGAGCACTGGGTCTTCCTTTTTTGGGAACAGAAACTAAGCAGGAAGTCTTCCATATCTTTGGCACCTTTTTCAACCTCAGGGAGAGGCCAAAAAGATGCTGGAATACTCTTGCCAGTTGCTCTGCACAATCCTTAAGGACTCTCAGGTTGACGTAGTCGGGACCTCTGGCCTTGTCTATCCGGGTCCTGATGAGTTGCAATCTCTTGGAGGGGGTTTGAGTGGGAGGAGGGTAGATGAGGGGGGTGGTGTTGCTGTGGTCAAGGGGGAGACAGGCTGTGGAGGAGGAGGGTGGGATAGCCAGGGTGTGAATGGAGGAGGGCGGGGTAGCCAAAGTGTGAATGGGGGTACCTGAGGAGGTGGAGGGGGTTTGTGAATTGAAAAACAGGTTTAGCATGTTGGCACGTCCCTTTGTCCCCTCCACTGAACCTACTGACCTTTTCATGCCAGTAATGCTCCTCGGTTGGAGGCTCAGACTACACTTTTGTGTAATTATTTATAGGAATAACGAGTATCACTCCAATCAAAGAGCATCCATTGATCATGACTGCTCAAACATAAAAATAAAGAACAATGAATTCATTATCCGATCGACAGGACATTTTAATTAGATAATCAACTAATCATTTGTCAAGCAAAACATTTCTCTGCTTCCAGTTCCTCGTTTTTCAGCATTATATGTAAGTAAATTAAATATCTTTGGGATTTGTACTGTTGGTTGGACAAAACAAACAATGTGAAAATCAGAATCAACTTTTGCTCTGGTGGATTTCTGACAAATAAACGGTTCTGTTGAAAATATAGTAGATAAAAGTAAATACTTGTTTGTTCCTACATTAAAACTGACCCTTGAGTAACAATTCAGATGAAAGCACAATTTTCTAATTTGTTTAAAAAGTGTAAAATATGGTAGATATGAAAGGATGTTTTTTAGTTTTTGTATGCATTTACTTTGTCACATAAAATGTAGTTACTTTTCATTTTGACATTAAAATCAGATCACAAGACAGAAAATAAGGTGAGGAGGTGTTTTGCATTTCAGTATTAATTCACAGAGGAAGGCATCATTTTATTTCTTTGATTTGATTTGTTTAATTTAGGCATTTTAAATCTTCCGTATTAAAAGCCTGCTTCTGATATATAAAACAAACAAAAAGTAGATCACTTGACTTGACTTGATTAAGTGTTCCTTTATTGACTTCAGATAAAAATCAAACCAAACTCAAATACTGAATTTCAAAGAAGCCGTGGCAGTGGAGGTACAGTTGGCGACTGACTGCTTCTGAACTATAATGCAGTTACAGCTTGTGTGCAGGAAAGAGGAAATATTCTACTGCAGCGAAACTACATTCAGGCTGTGATTATCATTAACCCTGTAGATGCTCCGGTGGTTAACTCATAACTGGGGATCCTGCATTAGAAATGACACAAAACGTAGCTGACACGAACATGTCCCAGCATTTCTTAACACCTACATATTTATGACCAATGGGCTCAGTCAATGACTTCACACATTGCCAACTCCTCACAATGTTATCACATCTGATGTCATATCTCAAAGGCCCTTCAGGTCCTGACTTGCCCCCGCCAACGAGGCTGACATGGTTGGAATGCCTCGGAGGGAGTGTCTCTCCTTGTCGTCATAGAAACCGTCTGGATGTAACTGTAGCTCCTGTACTGAGACTGTGCAGGAGGACAAGAGTCAGCTCCAGTCGTCACAATTTACATGCTCAATCATGAAAAAATGTTGTAATGTGTCATGACCTGTTCCTCTGCTTCCTCTTTATTGTGTCTCAATGTGAAACTCAACAGAGAGGACGGGATGTACATTCCACAGCTGCCTCTTTTTCAGTTTCAGACGCAAACATCACCAGTTTGAATTAAGGCAATAAATAATCTCCCACATGTGCTTCAGTGCTCTCTAATTACTGTAACTCCCCTCCTGTGCTCCCTCAAACTGCACTGTTCTCGAGGATTTTATCATCCCTCCCTCCTAATCCTGTCTCATTCTTTAGTGGTAGAGGGAGAAATTTGGAGAATTCTTTTCAGTGACCACACCAAACTCTCCAGTCACATGCCCTCTTTTTCCTTCCCGTCCTTCTCCTAAATAAGGAGTTACAATTTGAGTGGGGAAAACGAGAAAGAGCAAAGGGGCGGGTCATAGAGTGAAATAAGAGGACCTGAAGGCGTCTCTCTCTCTCTCTCTCTCTCTCTCTCTCTCTCTCTCTCTCTCTCTCTCTCTCTCTCTCTCACTCACTCACTCACTCTCTCCTCCTATTTCTGTTGAATGAGTCATATATTTCAGACAAGGGTGTTTGCTTTATTTATGTTGGCAGTTCTTAACAGTGCAACCTGCACTGTGTTGTAAGCGAGCAGAAGAGAAGGAACACAGCAACACAAGCCCGAACTCACCTGTATTCACCTGAAAGCTACTACACAAAGTAAGTAAACACTCCTCCTCTTGTTTTCTCTTGGCCTCATTCATCAATCTCAGTTTTCTGGTTTCTCACTGGCTTTCAGAAGATTTCTTTGTTGCTTTAAGCTTGTGGCTAACTGTGCAGGAAACCTGAAAAAAGAAGTGTAATGTATCTTACACCCCACCCTCGCGCTCTGTCTGTAAATGTTTAGCTCCTCTTGTCATGTGTAGAGTCTTGTGATATAAAGATATGTTTCTTATCTACCTTTGCTCTCAGCACTCCTCTGATGTGCTCACAGCAAAATGCAAGGCCTCACAGCTTCAGGGAGGGATAACATGTTCTGCTTCTGACAAATCTCTCAGCAACATGCAGCCAGTAGTGTCTAATAATATGTCATTTTCTGGTTTAATATATGCTCTGAACACAAGGCCGCTGGTTCAGGTTATAGCAGTGAAACTCACGCATGTGTCTGTCACACGTGTTGTGCGCATGCAAGTGCTTTTGGGCTGTGAGATAACTTAAAGACTGCGATTTCAGGGGGTGTTTGCGCTTTTCTCACTATCTTTAGTGATAAGGGTAGAAATACGGAGTTCTGAATTAACAGTCTAGGTCAGCAGCAGCTGGAACTGCTGATAAAGGGAAACGCAGCCATGAACACTGTAAGAAACAATCATGTGAACTAGTTTATCCATTTCGATCCACCGTGCTCACATTACAAAAGTTTCAGAACAAGCTTTCAACTGTTTGCTGAGCTAAATGAATTACAGATCATACTATGAGTACAGAAGGTATTACTTGGACTCAGTATGCAAATACTGATGCAAGAGCAAAATGTTGTGAAACATCTTGCACCGGATGACTGTAAGTTACTATGATACCAAAGTTTAAGAATTTGGGCGGGGGATGAGAATGACAAATTTAACAGTTACAACTGGAGTTGCATCTGAGTAAGACACTTAACCCTCAAAAGGCACATTGGAGCTGATCAGTGGGGAGTGTTTGCTCAGAGTAGCGGTCAGGTATTAAAGAGTGTGTCAAGGTAAAGCAGAGGATTAATGGAAAAGCTCATGCGTACTCAGAAATAATGATTTAGAGAGCAAGTAACAAAGTCAGTTATATCCTGCTGTAGTGTCTCAATTTACTGCTTGTTTGAACAGTAAAAACTATGACACATGTAAATATTTATAGTAACAAGTAGATAACAATATTCATACACAGTCACATTACGGAAGCCCACTGAAATACAATGACCAGAGGTTCATTCACAAAAGCTGGAGAATGAAAAAGTAGTTAGACGTGGATTTCTCTAATTCAGTATCACTCATTTACAAATATTTTTAATGGAAATGAAAATGTGTTACTATAGTTAAAACTCTTGCATCAACCAATTTATGATGCTTAGCAGCACACACAGCTGTTCATTGACATCTTGGTTTTTGAGGGGGTTTGTAGCCCTGACTCTATGATTACAAGATGTTCCCAGTAACTACCAGGCCACTCCCAGTTGATTTCTAGGGTGCACACAGATCTAGATAATCCAAAACACACACTAAAACACCTGTACACACACTCTGCTTTAATAGCTTTAATGCTAGCTTGCAGTCTACTTTACAGCCATGTTCACAGTAAAAATATGCTTGAAATGCACTGTGCAGAGTGGCAGGGGCATGATCTGATCTTTTGACATCCAATCAGCACTTCACATGTGTAGTTCAGAGATCAAAGTACAGGCTAAATTAAGGGTTAATCTGAAAGAGTAGACTCCTTGACTCCATCATCCCTCATCGTTCGCTGCATAGATAAGTCCTGATGTTTGCAGCAGCTGGATGTTCTCTGGGCGTGCCAGGACACCACAAATGGATCTCCTGTGATTGAGAAAGAGACTGTTCAAGTTGTTTAGATATTTACTTCACCCTTCTGGTTTCTGGTTTTGGAATGACTTAGCGGACAGGAAGGCGCTTCTCCTCAACATGCCATATAACCACTGCAACCTCAGACAATGAACAGAGACACCAGTGTGATCTATGGCAGCTAGGGCTCCAGTGTGAAGCTGTTAGACACAAAGATGATTTGTCAAACTATCAACACATATTGTGTAAGTCTGACGATCCTCTGTTTTGCAAAGGATGTAATAGGTGCGCCTTTCTGACCTCGAGGGACCAATTAACTTTATGCTGTATATTAAAACCCAGTTTGCCTGCAAAAATAAAACACAGATTCCAGCACAGATGCACGCAGTGAGGAATTTGCAGTCTTTTCAAAAGGCAGTACAAAATGTACAGGTTCTCTATATTTGCTGAGAATATATACACCATACATTTGTGTGCATACTGTGGGCAGGGAGTAAAGAAAAGTGAGAGCAGAAAGATTTTCCTATCAGCTATAAACATCTCCATATGTTATCTGCTTTCCTGGAAATTCAGAAATGTCAGTGAGTTGTGCAACTCAGTTACTCAGATCTGTTAAAGTAATAACCGCAGCGTGGTGGTTAACATGTACCGTCTCATACTTCCATGATTTAACAGGCTTGATGGAGGTTTTATTTTTTTAAACTTAAAGGCTGTTCCCATGGTGAGCAGTAGTGTGTTTTGTTTAGAGTCCTGTATACACATAGCTACCTTTGTCAGGGAGGAAGGAAGGAAGTGACAACTGAAAGAGCAAACAGGATGCAGGGAGCGGGGCGGTTCTGCCGAGGCCAACAGGAAGCTCATACTGCATTAATAAGTGAGACAGGCCAACCATAATTACTTACAGAAACAGCAGGGTTGTAATTCTGGAAGACATTTAGCATTTTCAACTTCCATGGTACAAAATGTATTTATTAAGTGACACTGAGATGGTCTGGATAGATGGAGATTCAAATCCTCAGTTTAGCTGGTTATTAAAACGTACATATTATATCAGTGTTGTTAATGAAGAAGAAGAGCAGGACTCTATTAAATTTAATTATTTCAATTTAAATATGCTCTGCTTCTGCTGTAATGTAGATTAGCATACACACACACACACAGACACACACACACAGACACACACGTACTTCTGTCCTCGACTCTTCATTGATTTCTTTCACAATTGTCTTATTCCCTGAAAGGCATAATTCAACATTTTGGGAAATAGGCTTATCGGCTTTCTGTTGGAGACTCAGATAAAATATATTGATACCACTCTTATACCTGTTTGTTGAATATAAGGTTATAGCTAGCAGCAGCTTAGCTTAGCTTAGCATAAAGATTGGAAACAGCAAGCCTGGTTCTATCCAAAGGTAACAAAAAGACCTAAGTCTAAAATTCAGTAATTTAAGCTGCAGTAGGTAACTTTCACTATATCCTGACAGTAGTAAATGAGACCGATAATCTGTGAAACAAGCAGGTTCTTTGACTCGTTCTAGTGCTCCTAATGGCATTTGCAAGAATCCACCGGGCCTAAAAACAAAAACAGCTAATCAGAGCCAGGAAAGATATAAAGACAGTTCTGGTGGATTCTTGTGACATCAGGAGCACATCTGTGTTGACCCTACTATTTCATGTCAAAATGGCTGCTGTGAAAAAGGTCTATTGAACAAGTGCCTACCAGCTAAAATTTGTTCACTTTCCTTATTCTGAAACTAACAGATTCTCACACAAAACTGAACACACAATAGAAACACATTCCCGCACACATGCACGTATGAGAGTGACTAAAGTCCTATTTGTTCTGACTGGAGGCCAGGATTGTGGGTGTGAGCAGGGCAGGGATTTCAATGTGAATGTTGTTACATCTGTTAAATATCCATATTGAAAAAGACACAATATGCTGCCAAGGAATAAAGTTTGCTTTAGCCACCTGCCTATCTAACTCTACCTTTCCCTCCCAACAGGATCAGAATGGCAAACAAAGGTCCCAGCTATGGTCTGAGCCGCGAGGTACAGAGTAAGATTGATAAGAAATACGACCCGGAACTGGAGGAAAGGCTGGTGGAGTGGATCATTGCCCAGTGTGGCTCTGGAGTTGGCCGGCCTGAGTTAGGCAAGACCGGATTCCAAAACTGGCTCAAGGATGGATGTGTGAGTGTTGGGTTTGCATAAGTGTAAATACGACATTGAAATTTACACTGTGTAGAGTCAGTATATATAAATGAACCTGCCTCTTCTATGTGTGTGTGTCTAGGTGCTGTGTGAGCTCATCAACAGCCTGTATGGATCCAACAAGCCGATCAAGACCATCAAGACCTCTGGCATGGCCTTTAAACAGATGGAACTAATATCCATGTTCCTCAGGGCTGCGGAAAACTATGGAGTCACCAAAACTGATATGTTTCAGACTGTAGACCTCTTTGAAAGTAAGACAACCAGCAGAACTCATCTGTATTTTGACAATAGTCTTGCTAATTGTTTTGTAAGTGAGGAAGTGAAGCTGTATTTAGAGGTGGAGAGCACAGGTCATTGTCTCTTCCCTTAGTTTGTGCTCATATGAGATTGTTGCATGTCTTCAGGCAAGGACCTGGCGGCTGTCCAGAGGACCCTGATGGCTCTGGGTAGTTTGGCTGTCACAAAGGATGATGGGTGTTACAAAGGAGACCCCAGTTGGTTCCATAAGTGAGTTTGAGTGTGTGCTCCCTCCCTCCATGTATGAACTAGTCTCTCTGTAGAAAGTTGGTCAAACAAAGGAGGTTTCTATTCAATGTTGAGTAATGAGATTGTGGACTGAGAGATGTGTGTTTGTATGTGTGCAGGAAGTCCCAAGAGAACAGAAGAGATTTCTCAGAGGAACAGTTGACCGAAGGCAAAAATGTCATTGGCCTGCAAATGGGCACAAATAAAGGAGCATCTCAAGCTGGAATGACAGGCTATGGACGACCCAGGCAGATCATCAACAACCCCTGAATCCAAGCAGTGCTTAAAACCTCCTCCGAGACACTCCTTCTTCTGCCCTCTGAAAGGCCAGCGAGGACGGAGAAACTCTGACTCTTACCGTAGCCATGAGGAGAAATGTAACCTGACTGTTTTCAAGGCTAAACTGGACCAAAACAGGGACCAACGAGAACATGTGCACATATACAACACACACTTCATGTTGATCACACATACATGAATAAATACTAGTTAACAATTAGACAGAACATTTTACATTGCAACTTATAAATTATATATTTTCTTAAACGATCATTCCAGTTGTTTTGCATGTTTTAACACCTACAACTGTGCTTTACATTACTGCTCATCAAAATATTTTAGATTTCTTACCTTCCAGACACCCAGAGGTTTGAGTTCTTGTCAGTTCACTGTAAGAATCAACTTGCAGAGACTTATAACTTGCTTGAGAGATGTAATCCATCACATTTAATACTTGGTTTGCTTTATTTCTTTATTTTAACAGATACATTATTGATGCATGCGGCCAGGAACTCTTTTCAAAACTCTACCTGCTAGTGCATTCAAGGACTCTGATGTCTGAGACGTGAGAATGTTTAATGGATTAAAAAAAAGTAATCCATTATTTATTTTTCAGTGTCCTTGTTTTCTATTTGTATATCTGCCACTGTTGTTCTTCTGACAACTCTTGGATGTCAGGGTATACTTGAATGCTTCCCTGCTCACAACTAATAACAATTTAATTGATGTTAAATTCGATAGATGACCTATCTCAAGCTAGTTTCAAGGCTCATTTATTGTGTACTGGATTGAATAAGAAGTGTGTGGAGTGCTGTGGTTTACAACAATGTTAAGCACAAAATTTGAAGTAAATAGGTTACAATAAACAAACACCAGTGTTGTCAAGTATAAGTTTAGGAAGTGAACTGCCTGGTTTGAAAAAGTGTTAAGAAAAACATAGTACAAGTACAGTCGTGTGTTTTACCTGATACACAATCTGCAGTTAGATGCTTTCAGTTAACTAATTTCCAATCAATATATTGGACCTTCTTTTTAGAGTTTAATACATCCTTTCTAATGATGATGATTTTGAAATAAAGTTCAATTTACCTGTAAAGAAGCCTCTTGTGTGATGAATAGATTAACATAGGCTTTGTCCTACATGTACTGATACTATTGATCACACACTGTGCCAAAATCCTTCTGCGGTGTTATTCTTCATACCATGGTGGCACCTGGTAAACAATAAGAGAGATTGACTCATGTACATAGCAACTAAACCCATAATCAACAGTAGGAGTTCCTGCAGGTAAGTACACCTAGCCTTGTTTGCTTTAAACCTGAGCTGTACTCCACACAGAGATAAGCAGACGTAATAAAGTCTGCAAAAAAATAAAATAAAAAAAGGCAATCTGCCCAAAGGTGGGAGGACAGAATGATAGGAGGGAGTGATAATGGGTGGGGATAAAGTCTGGCTTTCAGGCCAATCTTCGCCTGGTTGGAGAAAAACAAGGGGGATCTAGAGGAGGACAATCACTATCTTCTGCCAGGATTTTGTTTATACTGTGTGTTTGCTTGAGTAGAGATTAAGCTGTTCAGCATGAACTGACTCAGAAAAAGGCCGGAGATGGAGAAGAAAAGCAGGAAGGAGAAGACAGAAGAAGAATACATTTCAGTTTGATGAGAGAAAGAGGTTATGAAGAAACAACAGGAAGTACCTAAAAAAAAACCCAGAAGTGTCCAGATGGAGTCAAAAGACAGGAGATTAAGGTGGCTGGGGTCAGAAGGAGTGTACTTCTGACTTGAGAAATCAGAAAGCATTTCCAAAAAAGGAGTCATCATTGCAGAGGGAGGGCAAACAAAAAGACTTCCTTTTCCCCTTCCTTTTTATTCTTGGTCTGTTAACAGGAAACTGTGTGTAGAAATTTTGTGAGGTTAAATTGGTATATTGTATATCCACGAGAAATACATTTAAAACAAGGGAAAACAACACAGTAATACTGTTCATGTGGTGGTGTATTCTTATGTTTTATGATTATTTTCACAATAAAAGCTTTACTTTATCACTGCGCTATCACACTTAGCACCTCATAAAGAATTTTTACAACACAGACTTGCCTCTGATGGAGCAAGATCATTTGCTCTTTATGAAGTCGTCACTGTTAAGACTTACTCTTCTGTTGATGCAGTACATTAGTCTCTGTGGGACAGCCGCAGTCATCTAAGCTGTAGTTCAGATAATTATAATTGCCAAAAACTGTTTACTATTTCAACACTCATATTTATTTAAACACTAGCAGACATAAGTGAGCTCTCACACTGCTCAAAGCATCTGCCCAAGTTACTCTCCATCCTCCATCCATATCTCCAAGTCCATTAATATAACAAAGCTTTTGTGTCTCTGCAAGACCTTTTTTTAAAACTGAATAATTTTTACTGTTCGTCACCAGCATCTACAGCAAACATCACACACACACTGTTGAGGGCAAGAAACACAAATATTTCATAAGATTTCCAAGGCAGGTCAGACTAATGTAAATCAATGAAACAGAGAATCTTCTGTTTGAAATAATATTTAAGCTTTAAATTATTTATTTTTATAGTCCGAATTTCATTATTCCTCATTGGAGGATTGGTAAGAAAACACAATTCAGAAATGTATTACAGTGTTGTCTTATCACCATTCAGGAGATAATAGTTGGTGAGAGAAAGATGTGATTGTGTTATCTTTAATTGTATCAGGAACACTGTTGCACTGAAGACTTTTGCTTCATCATCTATTGACTAACTGAGCTAACAATCTACATTTATAATTGACTCCCTCACAATCTTATCAGTTCATCAACAAGTGCAACTTATTAATGTTTGATTTATGAAGTGACTCATTGTCAGTTAAGGATGAATTTATTGTTAATTGATCAGTATAGTAAATCTGAGTAGAAAAGGTGACCTGAAAGATTCTCTGAGCTGTGAATGGTGTCAGCAGATCACATGCTGGTTGTGGCAGCTGCAGTTTGTTACTGACGGTCTCGGGGGACAAACTTGAGAGAAAGAAAACTACAATTCCTGTCTTTTTCTAGGGGTTGTGTCACTACGTCAGGTTTAAGGTTCAGGTAGAACTGATAACTCATAATTTACGTTTGACCTGCCAGTATGCATGGCAGCTGAAATGAACGAGGCTGAACAATTTGAAATATTCCCCAAACAAGCTAAAACAAACGTATCAGCCTGTCCTCCCCTCTTCTGTCTTTATCTCACAATCTTGATCTTCCTAACATTTCTACAGCTAATTTTTAGCAGAGATGTGGTGCCCAGCCTTTTTGACAGAGGAGCTATTTTTTTTTATTCCATCAGGGTTTTAAAGAAAGTGTGGAAACACCAACACACCACTGGCCTCACCGCAGTGAAATGCACTTTGCTGCCATACAGGGGCATAACAGGGGCGACGATTAGCCTTGAGGTTACAGAAGTGGCCTTATGACTGGAGAGGTGCCAGTTTGAATCCTCAGACTGTCTGTGGAAATGTGAATGGGGAAGCTGAGCTAACACATTCTCCTCCATCAAGGTTGAGCAAGGCCAGGAGGTGGAGGCCTCACTGCTCCAGTGGCTCCGGTAGCAGGTTGACTCCATTAACACCCAGAGATCATTGAAGAATTCAGGAACCGTATTACTAGTTTCAGTTGTGTCTCAAGAGGAAGGATAGGCGTTGCACACTTGCAAACAGCGGCACATGGCACATGATGGACCCCAAATGTGTAACTTGAGCCACCAGACAAAGTAATGTCATGTAGTTAAAGGCCCAAATCTGAACCAGTCAGGATGAACTTAAGTAGCCTGGTCCAGACTTCAAGACTCAAGTAAATGAAATGGCTTTTCAGTCTGATTATCAGGCCAGAACTAATGCTGCAGTTGGTAGAGGCAGTAAGATAGCACACCGATTAAGGCATCTGAGTGACGTAGTGGAAAAAGCTGTCACCCACAACTGCAGAGATCTGATCTGTGGTGCTTCTGGCTTAGCCAGCGACATTTCTGGTGGAACCAACCAAGTGACAAAGCCCTCAAGCAGCGGTAGTATTTATAACAAGAGCAAAGAAGCAAGTCAGGAGATGGTATGTTATATAGGGACAGTGTCTGTGGTGAGGAGGTTAGGTGAGTCAACAAGACCTCAAACTTTAACATGGGTGAAGACTGTTTGTTTCCAGTTTACAGTTTTTTTTAAACCACGTGGTTATCACTGATGACAAAGCTCTCCTAACTTTAAGTATTAATTATAACTCAATGCAAAACTAAACCTAACATAGTTGTTTTTGTGCCTGAACCTAAGCAAACCTTAATCGTGGGGTTGTCACACCATAAAAATGATTTATTGATTGATAGTGATTAGTAACAGTTGTGGAAGACACAGAGAAATAATGTCATTGTGCTGATAATGGTAACATATGTAGAAAACACTGGATGGACAAACTATGTACTTTGTTGTTTAATTTGGAGGATTTATTATAACATTGTAGTGTTACTGGGTGGGAAGCCAGTGAGGGTCAGTTACTCCGTTACTCTGTCTCATTCGTACATCCAAACGTTGATGTAAAGTAGTAAGAGCTTTCCCTGTTGACAACCCCTCTGTTGACCTCACCGCAAAATCCATTTGTAGCTATTTTGCTTCTGTTGTCTCCGAGATCAAGAATGAACTTTAAATGTCATCTTTGAAGCCAACATGGAAGAGACGTTCTTAGAAGAGACATGCTTTGAAAACTGGATCTATAATTCAATGACCAACTGTACTCCATTGGTCCCTTACAGTACACAATTATGTTTCACATGGTATGAGCATAAAATAAACTTGAATAAAGGTTACAATAGGGTACAAATACAAGTTTTTGTGCTCGAAAAGAGCAAAATATACTTCTTCAGTGACCCAAATGTATTTTCCCCTGATTTACACCTTTTCCCAAGGGCAGACCAATAACACTATTACAGATTTTTTTTTTGTAGGTTTGTTACACATAAAATGTATTTTATATTTTTGTCTTACAATAAATGTCTCACAATAGATGAGAGGGGAATTCACTTTTAATTAGCTGTGTAGGCATGTATTGTTTGCATGAAGTGTCAGGAAGAGATGTCAGGCCTGAGGTTATGAGTGACACCCCCTTTTCAAAAGTCACAATGCGTGTGAATAAATCTTAAAATGAAGGAGGAGGACAAGTGAGAGGAGTGGTGGAATGTGAAAAAAAAAAGGTAATAAGTATAGCGGAGAAAAACATTCTGGTTAAGACAGTGATTGGTTATTGGCATAGAATAGGCCAAAGGGCAGCTTGTCCTACTGAGTATTTCACTCCGAACTACACTTAAACACCGCAAACTCAGCTTCTTACTGCAAAGGTGCAGCTATTAATTGACAGCAAAAGCAATGTTTTGGCTGCTTTGGTTTGTATGCAGTAGGGTGATGTCAGTCCAAGGTCATTATGTGACACCACAAAAGGCTGCAGTCAAGAAATGATAGCCCTGGGTGAAAGGCTAGGGAAGTAAATAGGACAGCCTGACCTGAGACCTGCTGAATTAGCTTTAGGACCAAGACAATTATTGAGAGGTGCAGCGGAGAAATCAATGGGTAAAAATGACTTTCGATGACCTGGTCTTCCGCACTGTTTGAGTGAGGCAGAGATGGTGTTACACAAGCCTTAATGCAGGTGAAACAGCTCTCTGTGGAGCTTCAGTGGCAATTATGAACCAGATTGGTTGTAATTTTTGCACCGTAAGCTCAATTTCCTTCCAAGGTGGTTTCACAAAGGTGTAATTTGCGGTGTAGATCCTATTTGCATTTGAGTGTGGTTTTCAAAAAGCAAGTGTTTATGAAATAAAAGCGGCACTCAGCTGGAGACTGCAGGTTTGGGAGATGGCTAAACATGAATTTCACATCAGATACTGCTGCCTCCGGTCTGAAGTAAGCAAAAAGACTGAATACGTATGTGTCAATGACTCATAGCCATTAATATGGTTCATTCGGGAAACCACAGAGGAAGATGCTGTGGTATGACTGCATGCGTTGTTAGCTCTTCATGGGTCAACATTGAATGATAAGAGGGTGAAAAAGGTAGGTCACAGGAGTATCAGGTGTAA